CTCAGGTGCCATCTTTGACACTGGGCCGATACTCCTCTGCCACCACCTCACCCTGCACTGGATCCACCAACATCAGAGTCACACCTCTCGCTGCTGGGCCCACCTCGTCGATGTTGCAGTGATGCCCTTGCACCACTGCTTCGCCACTGCCAGACCCAATCAACAAACGAAGCCACTATACCTCAGATGCCATCTTTTGCTGCTAGGTTAACCTTGCCTCTGCCGATGTAGCAGCCATCAATTTCAGGTAGTGTGTTTGCTTCAGAAAAGTAAGTAGGGGCTCACTCTCCTCCATGCTGAGCCCGTCATGGACCACACCCTGGACCTGACTCAAGACTACCCGAGGTCCCTGCCCTGGGTCCAGTTGAAGTCCGTGCGCTGAGCTTTCACCACTGATGCTGTCCAAGCTCAGGACAAGTTAAGTAAGTAAAATAAAATAAGAGAGCGGTGATAAAGAAAGAAAAAAAAAAGCAGTGGTTTTGGATGAGCCTTGACACAGATGCCCTACTCCACTGCCATCTTGGCCATCAAATATTATTTGCTCCTTCATTTCTAGAACATCTAAACAGTGTTAAAAAGAAAATTTACCTCCAGAAACATGATAAATGTTATCAAAGTGCAAGGAAATCAGATGCCTAACCTCTGCGACCATCATTCTAAGCTTACTATAATGAAATGCAAGACAGCAACAGAGACATGAACATTTCTTTCAAAGGAATCGAAGAGACAGCAAATGTGAGAAATTGAATATACATTCCTACATTCCAATTAATACCATTATCTTCCACTATAGTACTAGAACAGGAAAATATTACCATTGACATCATCACTGTGCACCCACACCAGGATGTTGGTGTCACTGACATCTGTATGTTCCACTTATTGTTACCTCTCATTCTATGGTTCACTCGCAGCCATCTGCTCCCTTCTCAGACCCCAACTTTTGTCACTGCCTCCTTCTCTCCCTGCCCCGTTGTGTCCCCTTGCCATCCAGCTTACCACTATGCTCATGCAGAGACAGTGAGTAAGGCAGTGGGTGATAGCTTAAATTTTGGAGTGGGGTAACAAGAAGGCAACTATTGAGCAGCATGTGGGTGGTGAAGAGGCAGCAATTGAAACAACAGGAGTGTGGCAGCAACTGACTAGCATTCAACACGACTCAAATTCTCGAGTTGACAACACCAATGGAAACAGGCAATACTTTTTTTAAAAACGTACAATGGTAACAGAATTGCATGAGAGATTGCTAGTGGCGATGAGGGTAATAAAAAGCAGCTTGTAAAAAAAGTCACATTCACTGTGATTGCTTGTGCAGTGTGTGTCCGCTGAAACTGTAGCCTATTGATACACTCAAGGTGGTATTGTAGAAAACAATGCAGTCTTTTCAACCCACAGGTGAAGACTGATAATCAGGGAACAGAGTTTATTACCATGTTTAATGATGATTTATTTTTATTATAAGAACATAAGAACATAAGAACTAGGAGCAGGAGTAGGCCGTCTGGCCCTTCGAGCCTGTTCCGCCATTCAATAAGATCATGGCTGATCCTTTCGTGGACTCAGATCCACTTACCCGCGTTCTCACCGTATCCCTTAATTCCTTTATTGTTCAAAAAAAATCTACCTTTTTTTCAAAAGCGTTTACTGAAATAGCGTCAACTACTTCACTGGGCAAGGAATTCCATAGATTAACAACCCTCTGGGTGAAGAAATTCCTTCTCAGTTCAGTCCTAAATCTGCTCCCTCTAATCTTGAGGCTATGCCCTCTTGTCCTAGCTTCACCTGCCAGTGGAAACATCCTCTCTACTTCTATCTTATCTATTCCCTTCATAATTTTAAATGTTTCTATAAGATCACCCCTCAATCTTCTGAATTCCAATGAATATAATCCCAATCTACTCAGTCTCTTCTCATAAGCCAACCCCCTCAACTCTGGAATCAACCTAGTGAACCTCCTTTGCACCCCCCTCCAGTGCCAGTACATCCTTTCTCAAGTAAGGAGACCAAAACTGCACACAGTACTCCAGGTGTGGCCTCACCAGCACCTTGTACAGCTGCAACATAACCTCTCTGCTTTTTATTTCAATCCCTTTAGCAATGAAGGACAAAATTCCATTTGCCTTCCTAATTACTTGTTGTACCTGCAGACCTACCTTCTGTGATTCATGCACAAGGACACCCAGGTCCCTCTGCATAGCAGCATGCTGCAACTTTTTACCATTCAAGTAATAATCCTTTTTACTATTAGTCCTACCAAAATGTATGACTTCACATTTATTTACATTGTATTCCATCTGCCAGACCTTTGCCCACTCACTCAATGTATCTATGTTCCTCTGCAAAGTTTCACAGTCCTCTGCACACTTTGCTTTGCCACTCATCTTAGTGTCACCTGCAAACTTTGACACCCTACACGTGGTCCCCAGCTCCAAATCATCTATATAAATTGTAAATAATTGCAGTCCCAACACCGATCCCTGCACCTTGTATCATTTTGAGCGATAGGTTAACACTTCCATAAAGAAAGATCATTGCTTATTTATTGTGGCAAAAATACATACTTTAGAAAGTTGTCAAAAGATTTTTGTAATTCTAAACCACATAAGTCTCACTTTTAAAAAATATCGAGATCTTCATAAATTAAGTGGAAATTTGACAAGTCTAAAAATTAAATCCTAATTTGCTTTTTGGACAGATTCATCAAAAGTCAGCCTCAAGGATGTACTTTGATTTTGGATCCAACTTCAGACCCAATTATCAAAGGCTGAAATGATACACCAGATCTCAGCACACATGTAATCAATGTAAAGTTAAGGAAAGCTCAAGCCAAATATAGAATAGCCTGTCAAGTCATCCATATCCGAGCATGAGGTGTAGGAAATACAATTTCTGGGAACATGAGGTCCATGTGAGTTAAAATACAAAGTAAAAATTATTAACAATGAATTAAATAAAATTTATCTGACATTTGCTGGAAAATAAAAGAAATTAGGGCCTACGTGCAATCAAAACTGCAACATCTCATTTAGATTGAACAAGGCATCTGGACTCAATTTTGCTTCAAAACATCTTTCTTTGAAGTAGAATGTACTTTGGAAAATATTTAAATACTAACAAATGTAGCCCTTACAAAATGAGTCATGAATGTGCCTCTAACCTTTGGCCAAAAGAACTCATGCAGACATAAACAACCAAACTGACCCACACTCAAACATTCTATGGGATTGCGTGCATTAGCATTAGGTAGAAAGAAATGCATAGGATGATCTGTATTTTATCCATTTGTGGACATGAGTGAAGAAAACAAACAGCAGTTCTGAAATAATATTATAAGGACACAGGGAAAAAAAAACGAACTCCAGAGCAGAGTTAATTGCCAGTCAGAATCCAAGAGAGAGAGATGTATTCAATATTGGGATGTGATATAGGAATCGAAGAAGGTTGCTCAGCCCATTGAACCTCTTCCCTTTATGAAGGAATATGAATGAATCCTTAAAAAAAATTACAGAAGATACTGGAAAACTGAACTAAAAACAGAAAATGTTCAAAATCCCCAGGTCCAGTATGATCCATGGAGGGAGAAATACTTGAACACTCAAAACTTCAAATCAATGAATTTTCATTAAAACTGGAAAAAAACATTAAATGTACATTTAAAATTTAACAAATTTCAACAAATCTACCTGGTGCAGCCGTGCACGTCCATGACAGCATCAGTTGGCATTGACCAAAGTCATTGAGGATATCCTCGCTTAATTTTCAATGGTACTACCATCACATTAAATGGGACATATTTCAAGCAGATCTAGCAACTCAAAACAAGGCAGCTGCAAAGATCACCATCAGCAGCAGAGAACTGTATTCAACCACAATCTATACCATCAAGGCGATCTGAAATTATTCTGAGGAAGGGTCACCAGACCTGAAACGTTAACTCTGTTTTTTCCCTTCACAGATACTGCCAGACCTGCTGAGTTTTTCCAGCAACTTTGTTTTTGTTCCTGATTTACAGCATCTACAGTTCTTTCGGGTTTTTTTTAAAACTAAATCTAATATCGCCAAGTTGGCAGATGACACAAAACTGGGCAGGAAAGTGGTCTATGAGGAGGATGCTTCAGTGTGATTTGGACAAGCTGAGTGAATGGGCAGATACATGGCAGATGAAGTATAATGTGGATAAATTTGAAATTTGGAAGCAATAAAAGGAAGGGAAATTATCTGAATGGCAACGGATTGGCAAAGATGGATGTGCAACGAGACCTGGGTATTCTTGCAGACCAGTCACTGAACATAAGAGCCACAAGTGGTTAAGAAGGTGAATGTTATTCTAGCCTCTGTAGCACAGGGATTTAAGTACAGGAGCAGGAGGATCAATGTGGATGCAGTGGGTCGAACTGTCAGTTTCTACACCAGCGGGATTCTATGATTCTATTACTTGAATATGATTACAATGTTGAAGTTCACTGACGTACCAAAAGTTTGTTTCTATCAGGCTATAAAGTAACATACAGGCAGATTAGAGTAGTATTAAAATAGGTGCCATGGACCTATTTTACCACTACTTTAATCTGCCTGTATCCACCTGTATGTTTCTAAGGCAGAGGTTAATAGGTTCTTGATAATCATGGGAGTGAAAGGTGGCTGAGGTAATCAAGAGTGTGAATTTGAGGTTATCAGATCTACTGTGATCTCATTAATTGGTGGAGCAGGCTTGACAGGCTGATCCTACTCCTGATCCTTGTTCATATGCATCTAATGAGGTATGTTGGAAGGAGAGTGAGGCACAGAAATTTACCTTTCTGAAATGTATAGATGTAATGACACTGCAAAACATGGAGTTAAGGAACAACCAGAAGCAGAAACATAAGCAAGGGAGGAAATCAGCAGCACGGAAGAGAAAACCAATTGATAATCATCCATCCACTGTTTCAATCGCAATTGCCTAAATCTTCTAAAACTCATCTCATTAATAGTTTAAAAAAAAAACTCAAAGGTTATACCTGATCACAGGCATCTCTGCAAATTGGATACTCCCTTGCTTGATAACAACACGATACTTCTGCAAAAGTAAAAAAAAGATGGAATGTTAAATGCGAGGGTACATTAGGTTAAATGCTCGTTACAGTTTCGATATGTACACTGTTGTTTCAATATCAGTTCAATTAGACCTTCCAATGATTTCGATATACAAAAGAAACTGTTAATAACCATGAATTTCACATGGTCAAATGCAAAAATAATTCAGTCTTCTCCCTTTCCAACCACAATGAACTTTACACGAAAGATTAATATTGCGTGCATCATAGATAATAAGTGTAAACAACATTAATGGTAAGCAGTTATGCAAGTGATAAACATATTTAGCATATACATGGGTTGGCAATAATTAGACGTTTTGAAGTGTGTCAGTTTATTTATACATTATATATAAATCACACTTAAAAAGAGTGTTCTGCCTTAAATACAATTCTCAAGTTGGCCAGGATTTAGTTGCTAATTGTTTTAACTGGTAACTCATTCAGTTTCCAGTTAATTGTAGAGATGATAAATCCATTCTGATCTATGATTTTCCTTAAGTTTGGCCTTACATTCACAGTTCAGTTTGCTGTTGGGATATCTGTAATAGACTTTTGAAAATAAATAAATTCCTTCAGAAGATTAAGGCAGTTTAAATTAGTTTAAAAATAATGAAAACTGCAGTATACTGAAGTGTAATATTACATTTGGTGCTCTGTGTTTTCTAGACTTTTTCCTTTGCAGAGGAATAAAATCAGCTCAAGCACACCAATGAAAGTTAAGCAGCAATGTGGATTTGGACCATTTCAGGACTTTGAGAAGGCCTGTGAAAGATCTTTAATATGTTTACAGATTAAGCAAGGGCACCAATATGGACAGTTGTATGCTACTTTGCAAGTTTGTTTCTTTCCAAACTACTGGAGGCCAAGTCTGGCTGCCACACTTTGGAATTTACAATCAATCACAATGCTATTAAGTCATAGGTAAAAAGAACAAACAATACTCTGTAACCAAATATGAAATAACAAACATCGACAAATATAATTTCTTTTACAACATCAATAAATGGTTCATTATTAAAAGCAGTCATCTAATGATTAAGCATACTTCTAACAGATAAAATAGCTGATGAACAAAATACTGCAAACGCTGGGATTATGGAAAAAAAAATGGAAGTGTAGGAAAATAGACAATGTATGCACAGTCTTTGGCAAAAGGTGGTTCTTCAAGCATATTGTACTTTATTAGAACAGCTAGCAACAATTTTTTTTTAAGAGAATGCATAAATCACTTTACAAATAAACAAGGAAATATTTTAAAAGGATAGTTCTTGTTAAGGGTTAGAAGATTTGGAGAGCCATTCTATAAAATAAAAATGCTGTCCAAAGCATCTGATGGCATATCAGTATTATTTTCATGTACTCTGTAGAAATATTTTAATGGTAATACGTTTAATCATCTACACTTTTTGCCCAGAGTAAGCCAAAAAGATATAGAATTAAACCAGCGAGTTATAGTGTCATAAAGATGGAAGGAAACAGACCTTTCGGTCCAACTCTTCCATGACGACCAAATAGCCTAAATTAATCTAGTCCCATTTGCCACCATTTGTCCCGTATCCCCCCAAACCCTTCCTATTCATATACCCATCCAGATGCCTCTTAAATGTTGTAATTGTATCAGCTTCCAGCTGGCAGTTCATTTCATACACACACCTTCCTCTGCATGAAAATGTTGCCTCTTAGGTCCCTTTTAAATCTTTCCCTTCTCACCTTAAACCTATGCCCTCTAGTTTTGGGCTCCCCTATCCTGGGGACAAGACCTTGACTGTGAACCCTATCGATGCCAAGGTCACCCCTCAGCCTCCAATGCTCCAGAGAAAATAGCCCCAGGCTATTCAGCCTCTCCCTATAGCTCAAACTCTCCAATCCTGGCAACATCCTTGTAAATCTTTCTCTATTCTCCAGGGCGACAGGCAGCACCTGTTAAAACGCTTCTGAAAAGTTCTTTGCAACATAGCTTTTAGACACCCTCCCAATTTTCTCCTTCAAAAAAGCAATAATTTTCAGAATGCCAGTGAGGTCCTTTGGAGCTCACTATTTTTAAAAACATTAAAAAGATATATAAAAGCATGTTGTCATATTGTGGATACTAGAAAAAGCTAGTGGCATTTGCTTTCAAAGAAAGCTAAATAAGAAGTTATCAACATTAACTGTAGCTTTAACAGGCTGCATCTTAAATTTCAAACACTTCAATTACCAGTGTCTCTTAAGTGGATCTCACGCGTACAACATTGTAATAGCCCCAAGTGTATCCAATTATTTGAGCTACCCAATGAGCATTACAATTCAAGCAAAAGATATTTTCAAAATGCAAGAGGACTATTCAAAAACAAGATCCACATCTACTATGTTGACACACAACTCAGGATCCTGAGGACACCCCTGCAACTATAACTAGCACCAAATGAAAGTTCAGCTGTAACCAGTAAATAAAAACACTGAGATAACAAGGTGTAGAGCTGGATGAACACAGCAGGCCAAGCAGCATCAGAGGAGCAGGAAGGCTGACGTTTCGGGCCTAGACCCTTCTTAAGAAAGGTCTAGGCCCGAAACGTCAGCCTTCCTGCTGTGTTCATCCAGCTCTACACCTTGTCATCTCAGATTCTCCAGCATCTGCAGTTCCTACTATCTCTGAAATAAAAACACTGTTGTTTTCAATATCTTTTAAGGATTCATTACAAAATAAATGTGTGTCAGCTTTGAGTCACAACATGTTACAAAAAAAAACACTATCAGGGAAAAGATTCAAGGTACAGTTGAAGTTGTACTCTATTCAGGAATGCTTAATGTAGGGCAAAAAGCAATGAAATCATTTAGAGTGGATATTGAGTTTTTGTGGTAAGAAGAGAGACACAGAAGTACAAAGATAGCAGCATTCTAAAAATGAAAGAAAGCAATCCTGACTGCAGCTAAAACATGCAGTTCTGTATCGAACAGGATGCCAAAATGTGCAAATCCAGATTTGGCATAAGCACTAACAGGGGAAAATCAATATGGTCAAAAAGAGATAACAGCAGAAGTAAGGCCATTCAGCACATCGAGTCTGCTTCACCATTCAACGAGATCATGGCTGATCTGATTATTCGCAACTCCATTTTCCTTCCTTTGCCTCATAACCCTTAATTCCCTTACAGATTAAAAATCAGACTATCTCAACCTTGAATGTACTTAAGAACTCAGCCTCAACAGCTTTTGACATGGTCCTCAAAGAGGAAATTGCTCTTCATCTGTCTTAAACAGGCAACTCCTTATTCTGAGATTACATATTCTGGTCCCAAACTGTACACAAGGGGAAACAACCTTTCCACATGACATTGTGCAAGAGCCATTCAAGATAAGGAAAGATCTGAACATGAATGTTTTTACTTCAGTAACACTGAAACTTAGTACAGGAGAAATTCATCAGATCCTGCAGCATCCATGAAGGGAGAAATAGGGTTATTGCTTCCAGTCCAATATGACTCTTCTTGGGAACTGAAGAATCGTGAAAATTTGATGCATGTCATACTAATGGAAAAAAAAGAGGAAGGGCCAAGTCGATCAGAAGTGAAGGTCAAGGAAGGACATAGAGACAAACAGAAAACCCAGGTAGAAGACAGGACATCTTCAAGGTAGGGAGTCCTGAAATCAGAATGACAGTGAATTAAACAAATGAAATTTTAACTAATTCATAACTTCGTAACAGGTCAGGAATCCTTTAAACCAGCAAACCTTGGGACCAACTGTTATTCAGATGAAGGATATTTCTAGTTTTCAGATACACTTGCCTTTCCCTCTAAAATCTTTTACTAATCATCTCACAACCAAAAGCAGAATATTCATTTAACTCTGTATGCTAGTCTGGTAGAGTATGGGTTCACCATATCTTTATTGAAAACCTGATACCATCTGTAAGTTTTTTTTTCCCCCATTGTCACTGCACTTATTATTCTTTGTCTCCATTTGTTGCTACACTTGCCACTTAGGTTTTCAGGTCCATTCAAGCTCTCTGGGGAAAAATACTTTGCTTGACCCAAGCATACCTAGAGGGGATGTTCTATTCCAAAAGGGACCAAATGGATCCAAACAAACCTGTAGAAACACTGAGTTCCGGCTATTGGAAAAAGACCCATTGAGAGGTCCTTTCGAGCCAAGCAAAGTCTTCTTCCAAAGGGCCTTAATGCCATACTCAAAGCTGATACACTTTCAAAAAGACATCCAGTTTTTGGATATTTTCAGTTTTTGGACATGCAAACACTGATTTCTTCCAATTCCTACTCTCAACAAATTACCTCTGGGAGCCAACTTGTGCCCCCTTTTGTGAAGACAGAACCAAAATACGTGTTTCAATTCTTCTGCCATTTTTGTCTTCAATTAAATTTCCTTGTCAATCTCTTACAGTCATAAGTCACTTGTCTTTACTAATCTTTTTCTCTTCACATATTTAAAGAAGCTTTTTCTTCTATTCCATTTCTATGTTTCCTGCAATTTTACACTCAAACTAATTTTCCCCCTTCCTTGATCAAACTTTTGTCCTCTTATGTTGAATTTTAAAATGTTCCCAATCCTTAGTCTTGCTGCTTTTTCTGGTATTTTATGTCTCTTCTTTGGATCCAATAGTATGCCTAATTTCTTTTCTAAGGCAATGATTGAGTCAATTCTCTTATTTTTTGCACAAGGCATGGTGGCTCAGTGGTTAACACTGTTGCCTCAAAGCACCAGGGACCCGGGTTCGATTCCACCCTCGGGCGACTGTCTGTGTGAAGTTTGCACATTCTCCCCATGTCTGCGTGGGTTTCCTCCCACAGTCCAAAGATATGCAGGGTAGGTGGATTGGCCATGCTAAGTTGCCCGAAGTGTTCAGGGATGTGTAAATTAAGTGGGTTATAGGGGGATGGGTCTGGGTGGGATACTCTGAGGATCCGTGTAGACTTGTTGGGCCAAAGGGTCTGTTTCCACACTGTATGGATTCTATGATCTCTATGAAGAATGAAAAATGTCATTTGTTATACTGTCAATCCCTTCAGTAAGGTTCCCAAATCCATCCTTGCCAATTCACACCTCATACTTACACGTTTGGATTCAGGACCCTAGTTTCAGATTTGACTACATCACTCTTCATCTTTATCATATTATAGCTGCTCTTCCTGAAGGGACACATCACAACAAGACTGTAATTAATTCTCTCGTTGCACAGTACCCCGTCTTGAACAACCTGTTCATTGGTTGTTTCCACAATGTTTTGATCTGAAAAAAACCATGAAGTACACACTCATGGAAAATCTCCGCATCATCATTGCTGGTTGCAATCTCTGCTTCTACCCAACAACAATGCCTCATTCTCCTCCTCCGGGTCACCACCTCCTCTTCTCCTGATGCCGCCACCACCCCCTCTTCCTTACAACACTGCCTCCTTTTCCTTCTCTTCCTCACCCTACAACATCACCTCGTCCTCTTCTCCCAATGTTGCCTCCTTGTCTTTTTCCCGACAAAACCTCTTCCCTCACTATATCACGCTATGGATCCTCTGCTGCCTCCTTCCCGCCCCTGTGACACTGTCATCACCGCCTCCTTCCGTTCAAGTTTCACTGAAATTATTCCCTCCTACTTGCTCTCAAATTTTTTCCCTCCAGCTACATCCACAACTCTTTTGCTGCCCTCTATCATTTCAACAGTTTCCTAGCCTTAACTGCCCCCCAGTCACTCTGCACATCCAATCCTCTACTGTGCCAGCCCCAACAGAACAGTTTGGGGTTCTCAACATTTTTTTGATCAGAAGCCTAGGCCGTCCTCCACACCACCTAGCTGAGCTTGTACTCACTCTGCACAACTTCTCCTTCAGCTCCTCTTCAAAATTGAAGCCTCTCTCACCACATGTGCTGCAAGACTTCCGGAGTTTCTCCAGCACTTTGATATCATCTGGATCCTGGCTATGCCTGCCTTTCTCTTGTGGGACACAGGGAACATTGATTATCTCCATCCTGTTCAGGTTCACCTCCCTTTTTTATTCTGGTACAGTGCTAACTGTAATAATGCCCATCCTGCTCTCCCACCATGATCAAGGATATTTTATTGATTGTGTTTCCAATTTCCAGCCTTCACGTACCTTTATCTGGTCCATCCTAACATTTTCCCTCCCTTCATCAACTTGTCCATCTTTATTTCTGGAAACTGGCTACCCACTAAAGTTCACTATAAACCACAAAATCCCACAGCCACCTGAATGATACTTCCTCACATACTGCTTCCTGTAAGCACTCAATTCCATACTCCCAATTTGTTTCTGTCAAATCTGTGCTGATGATGCAACCTTCCACACCAGTACAACCAAAATATCATCTTCGGTCTTCAACTAAGGATTCCCATCTAGTGTGGTTGACAAGGTCCCCCAATGTGTTCCATGCGTTTCACAAAACATGCCCCCACTCCCTCCTCCTCCTTCCCAGAACCATGATAGGGCTTCCAGTGCCCTCAACTTCACCTCACCAGCCTCCATTGTCTGAAGTTTATCCTCTTCATTTTCCACCAGTTCTAGCATAAAATAACCTTCACTCCCCACTGAATATTCCAAAGGAATATGTCCCTCTGAAGGCCCACTACTTAGTCATCTAAACACCCTTCAGTTCCCCACAGCATCTTTCCATGCAAGCGCAAAACATGCAACTTCTGTCTTTTACCTCCTTCACTGTCAAAGGCCCCAGACACACTTCCCAATTGAAAAATTACTTGTACTTCCTTCCGTTTAGCAACTTTGCTCATTGCCCATTTATAATCCCCTCAACACTGTGCAGTCCAAATGCACAATCAGGTGAGTGTTTTGTAGAACACCTTATGTTTCTGGTTGCTTGTCATTTTAATTTGCCATCTTGCTCTCACACTTATTGCTCTGTCCATTGCGTGTTAGTGTTCCAATGAAGTTCAAAATAAGCTTGAGGAACCGGATCTTATATTCTGGCTCAGCACTCTACAGTCTTCAAGAATCTACACAGGGTTCAACAGCTTTAGGTTATTACATCTGCTTCCATCTTATTTTCTTTCTGTTTTGGTTGGATCAGTCTCGTTTCTATCTTTATCACTTCACATTGTTTCAGATTTTTTTTTTAATTTAGAAATTCATACCTCACTTTGAAGACAACTATGTTTTTTCAGAATATCCATTTCCACTCTCTTTGGCTGTTGTATTATGACATCTTGTTATTTCATCTCTGCTCCATCACAGAAATTCTGTTCTTCCTGCTCTCTCCCTCAGATTCACTCTTTTGTTAGTAGTTACAATAGGTCATCAACCTAAAGCATAAACTCTTTCTTTCCCCAGATGCTGCCTGGTCTACCAGGTTTTTCCAGCACTTCGTGCATTTATACCTGTGTTGTGAAGTTGGGTAAAGGACTTGTAGATTGGGAGGCAGGAAGCTAGAACTTAGTGTTTATAAAATGCTCGGGGGGGAAAGCTTTGCATGGCCCCTTTAAAATATCATGTGCTTTTTCTGTGCTTAGAGATTTAAAATAGAAGTCTGTGAGCAGTAGCTTGAAAGTTTGCAAATACACAGAGCAGCCAAATTGAAACACTTGTATTGAAAGGCTGTAAGGCTAGCAGGCCAAGCAGCAGCTCTTTTACCAACACAACAGGCGTTTGAATTTAGCCAATCAATTTGAACCAGGTACTTAGATACCAAAACCCTATTAAATTTTTGTCTGATGGTTTTGACAACATAGGACCAATCCTACGATAAGAAATATTGATATGTTATCAAGGGGCCGGTTAGGCACAGACCCCAGAGTTAGCTGCCATCCACCAGAGCTAACTGTCCTCAGCTCTCGAGAGAATCGCTGCCTCTCACAGCCTCCTCTATGTCTTAGAGAAAGCACCATCTAAATAACAACGGTACCAACAACACAACTAGTTAATCTTCCTGGCAGAGGAATCAACTGAAAAGGCACAGAACACTCTGGAAGACACGTAATCCGGCTGTAATTTCAAGAGGCTAAATTGTTTCTTTTTTAATATGAGTGCGACTAATATTTAATGGAAGTGAGTGTCAAGGATTTATTTTGTTTAACCGCTAAGAATTGTTGAAGAGCAAGCTACACCATTTTTTGTACTCCTTTTTACAGATTATGGGGCAAGGTGCTCCTCTTTGGATGTTTCGGTTTTAGTTCACCACGGGGAGGGGTGGGGTGGTTAGAATCTGCTTTATAACACTTGTGAATAAGTTTTCTAGTTGCACTCAAAGTAAAAGGGGCAAGTTCTGATTTGTGATTTAACCAAAGTGAATGATAAAGAACTCTCAGAAGAGGTGTTAGCGTTGGTGTGTAGTATATGGCAACATAGCAACTTAACCAAACCAAATACACAGACAGCGTGACTTCTCCAATGCTGTCCATCTTTGTCCAGGCTTTACTACCAGAGTATGAGTGGAAGCTATAAATAGGAGGTACAAGGCCAATATCGAACTATTCCATGCAAGAATACCACATACCTTCAGCTCCACATCTGAAGATCTTCAATGCCAAAAATAGTAATGGAACTGCTAGGGTGCTGCTGTAGGCCATGAGGAAAAGTGACTGCAAGACAGGATACGCGTTATTAGAAACTAGCCATTTTTAAAGGAGTTTACCTCTAATATTTTACACACACTTTCAAGTTTAAATACAATAATACTGGATGAAATCATGCCAAAGTTCTCTCACACAATTCACCCAATAGCAATGTTTACAATAAATTGGAGGATATGTTGTATGTTATGTTAGAAGAGTTATATTTTGTAATGCAGTGCAGAAGTCTGAAATTGGTATGTAATTCATGTGATCTGTCTTTTTAAAGAGCAAAGGACAACTTGCTTTATTGATCACAGCTCTGGCTCAGTCACCACTTAATTTCTATTTTGCAGCAAAATTTACAAATTGAAATGGGTCAATTTCAAGTTGCAACTGAGGTACACCAAGTTTTTAAAAGAGATGGTTTGGAATCTGTAACAAAACGAGATGGCCAGAGAGCACTAGTTTACTGTGAAATGGAACGGTCGAAATGATTTCCTGAACACAGATCAGTGAGGTAAAAATAGCAATGAGAGAAAACAATAACAAGAGTGCAGCTTTTCTGTTGAAGTAAATAAAAGATAAATAATACCAAAATAACATGCTTTGACTCCATTTAAGAGTATTCCAGTTGCCAAGGTAAATGCTCGAAGCGATTTGTGAACTTCTTGAAAATAAAGCAACAGCGTTGAGTTTGCAGAATAGATTCTGATCAGAACTGGCGTCTATTACCAGAAGGGTATAAATTTCATTCAATTAAACAGGAGTGGATCTGAAAAAAATTTACTTTCACACTCTATTCTTTAGCTAGCAAGCGTATCCCTTACCAACAGTCCGAATATGAACTCAGTTGGCTCATAACCTTAGTCACATTTGCTCCCGAGACTAGTTTCTGACTTCATGTTTGTGCCATACTAAGATCACGTACTTACATTTTCATGGAAATCAGATATTTTGGCCATTCTCAGCTCACCCACTGCTGAAGCTCTTATTCTTGTCTCCATTACCTCTAAATTCAATTATTTACATGCACACCTGGCCAGTTCTGACCTAATTAAGCTTGAGATCATCCAACACATTGCTACCCATGTCTTTGCGCTCGCTAACTAACACCGGATCCTGGTCAATGTCTTGAATCTTAAAATCATTTTTTTTCCCCCCATACCCTTTGCAGCCTCATCATTCCCCCATCTCTTTTATTACGCCCACACTCCTCTAATTCTGGTCTCTTGTGCATCCCCAATTTTAATCCCTTCACCAATGGATGGGTTGTGCTTTTAGGTGCCTAGGCGCCAAGCTTTAAAATTCGCGCTCTATCTTAATTTACTACTTTAACATCCACTTTTAAACTTAGTCAGATGACCAAAAGCTATCTCCTTTTATGGCTCCTGTCACAATTTATTTGAGAATGCTCCTGCAGACTGCCTTTGAATGTTTCCTTCTGTGAAAAGTACACTTTATTTTGTTCATACACTTGTCAGAAATGGACATTGCTGGTTGGCCAGCATTTGTTGCCCGTCCCTTGCTGCACTCAAGAAGGTGGTGGTGAGCTGCCTTCTTTATCCACTGCAGTCATCATGCTGTAGGTTAACCCACAATGCCATTAGGGAGGGAATTCCAGGATTTTGACCCAACAACAGTGAAGGAATGGCAATATACTTCCAAATCAGGACGGTGAGTGGCTTGAAGAGGAACTTGCAGGTGGTGGTGTTCCCATCTATCTGCAGCCCTTGTCCTTCTGGATGGAAGCAGTTGTGAGTTTGGAAGGTGCTGTCTGAGGATCTGTGGTGAATTTCTGCAGTGCATCATGTCGATACTACAAGTCGTTATTACTGAGCGTTGGTGGAAATGTGGATAATCATGGATGTGATGCCCATCAAGTGGGCTTTATCCTGGATAGTGTCAAGCTTCGAGTGCTGTTGGAGTTGCACCCATCTAGGCAAGTGGGGAGTATTCAATCACACTCCTGACTTGTGCCTTGTTTTTGACGGACAGGCTTTGAGGAGTCCGGAAGTGAGTTACTCGCCGCAGTATTCCCAGCTTCTGGCCTGCTCTTGTAACCACCGTGTTTATGTGATGAGGCCAGCTGAATTTCTGATCAATGGTAACACCAAAGGTGTTGAGAATGGGGGATTCAGCAATGGTAGCACCACTGAATGTCAAAGGGTGGTAATTAGATTGCCTCTTATTGGAGATGGCCATGGCCTGGCATTTGTGTGGCGCAAATGTTACTTGCCATTTGTCGGCCCAATCCTGGATGTGCTCTAGATCTTGTTGCATTTGATCATGGATGAATTTTGGTAAGTTTTTCTTGACGGTTTCTCTGAGAGCCACTGTAAGATTTCTCACACTATTTTCTGCCAGCCACCTCATTAACTATGCACTCCTCCTCTTTAGCGCCCTGCGATGGAATCGCGAATGTTGCTGGACATTGATGATTGCACAATGAACATCCCCACTCTGATCTTATTATGGAGGGAAAGTCATTGATGAAGCAGCTGAAGATGGTTGGACTGAGGACACTAGCCCGAGGAAAACCTGCAGAGATGTCCTGGAGCTGAGATGACTGAACTCCAACAACCACGATCATCTTCCTACGTGTCTGGTAAGACTCCAGTTTGTCCCCGATACCCATTGATTCCAGTTTTGCTAGGGCTCCTTCTAAGTCACACTTGGTAAAATGCAGCCTTGATGTCACTCTGACCTCACCTCTGGAATTCAGCTCTTTTGTCCATGTTTGAAGCAAGGCTATAATGAGGTCAGGAGCATAGTGGCTTTGACAGAGCACAAACTGGGAATCACTGAGCGGGTTATTGCTGAGCAGGTGCTGCTTCATAGCACTGTTGATGACACCTTCCATTGCTTTGCTGATGATCAGGATTAGACTGATGTAGCAGTATCTGACCAGGTTGGATTTCTCCTACTTTTTGTGTACAGGACATACCTGGACAATTTCCATGTTGTTGGATAGATGCCAGTGTTGTAACTGTACTGGAAGTGCTTGGCTAGTGGAACGGCAAGTTCTGGAGCACAAGTCTTCAGCACTATTACCAGAATGCAGTCAAGGCCCATAACCTTTGCAGTCTCCAGTGTCTCCAACTGTTTCTTGATATCATGTCGAGTGAAATGAATTGGCTGAAGACTCGTATCTGTAATGGTGAGGACCGCTGGAAGAGGCCGAGATGGATCATCAACTCAGCATTTCTAGCTGAAGATTGCTATAAATGCTTTAGCCTTATCTTTTGCACTTTATAGAAAGAAGTTGTTGCTTCATGGAATTTGTGTTCTTGCCTTAGTTCAGAAATTAATTCAGTCAAAAGTATTCCATTCAAATATTTGATGGTTTAAAATGAACGAAATTCAAATGTTTAGACATACAGTCAGGTGCCAATGAGGTCATTCATGCTGAATTAGCTCATTATAAAGGTAATAACTAGAAAGTATATACATTGTCTAAAATCAACTACTTGAAGGATTCAGGGTATCAGGTGCATTTTATAGTTAGTACAGGATTTGGAAATATCAAGGATAAATTCAGTTGAGTTGCAGGTTTGTCAGAAATTCTGAAGGTCATCTAAGATCCCAAATATTACAGAGAATCATGACTAAAAAGAGGCAGTATCAGTGTTAACACAAGTCAATTTTTATCATTTACTGTTTGCAGAACATATTGTCTATATGTTCACTCTACTGACTGACTGCTTTGTCATTTTACACCCATATGAAAAAATCCTGGAGAAAACAGACTGAACAAGTTGCAAAGGCAAGCCTCCAAAAAGGTGAAAGACCATTTGCCAACGTATCGCATCAATCACCATAAATCATACATGTATACTTGTCCTGTGGTATAACACAAAGGTTACAAGATTTTATAGAATCCCCACAGGGTGGAAACAGCCTATTTGGCCCAACAAGTCCACACCACCCCACCGAAAAGCATTCCACCAGATCCATCCCACCCGCCCTATACTGTCCATGGCTAACACACCAAACCTACACATCCCTGAACACGATGGGTAATTTAGCATGGCCAATCCACCTAACTTGCACATCTTTGGACTGTGGGAGGAAACTAAAGCACCCGGCAGAAACCCACGCAGACACGGGGAGAATATCCGCCAGTCACCTGAGGCTGGAAGCGAACTCAGGTCCTTGGCACTGTCAGGCAGCAGTGCTTCCACTGAGCCACCATGCCATCTCACTGTATAGTGTTGATGCAGAAAAATACCATATTAGTTGTTTCCTCGATTTAATATTTAAACATATAAAATATATAACTATAAAATATATTGTTAAAGGAAAGTGACTTGCTATAAATGGGTCTTAAGAAATTGTGAACTCTGCAAGACTACTTTCAGTTGATACACTCAACAATGCGAGACAAAAATACAAATTCAAGACAAGCTATTGTCATCCTAAATCACTTGCATGTTATCTTTTCACACAACACAGTCATCAATGCCTGGGAGACCCTTGCTCAGAAGAAACCAACTTGAAAGAACCTCCTGCATGAAGGGATACAGCTCTTCGAGAACACCAGTCAGCAAAAGGAGCCTGAGAAAGAAATACCAGCAATCAAGGCCAAAGACTAATTTTACTTCCTGGGAACGCCTGCCAAACTTGTGTTCGGAGATGAGTCTCAAGGATCAGGTTCATTAGCCACACAAGGTCCCACAGTACCCGTGACCAATGACACAGAATTTCCTAAGTGGCCAATCATACTCCTTAACAAGTGATTGCCGAAGACATATAATCTTAAAACAAACTCACTTGTTCTCAACCTTTCTTCCCATCCCACCTATCAAATCACTCCTTAATTTCTAAAAATATCCCCCCCAAGTTCTAAAATGATGAAGTTACAGAAATGTATTAAATAAAGAGAAGCAGCCACTTAAAAGAAATGCGTTAATAATGCAAGGACACAGTACTGACATGTTGGGCTAACTGAGTTCTCAACCGACATTCATCAACACCACCTCAGCAGCAAGAGCATGATCGGAGACAAAAGTTGGGGATATTAAAAGTGTAGAACACAAGTGTTGAGGGCGGCACGGTGGCTCAGTGGTTAGCACTGCTGCCTCACAGTGCCAGGGACCCAGGTTCAATCCCACCCTCGGGCGACTGTCTGTGTGGAGTTTGCACATTCTCCCTGTGACTACATGGGTTTCCTCCGGGTGCTCTGGTTTCCTCCCACAGTCCAAAGATGTGCAGGTTAGGTGGATTGGCCATGCTAAATTGCCTGTAGTGTTCAGGAATGTGTAGATTAGGTGGGATGCTCCAAGGGTCGGTGTGGACTTGTTGGGCCAAAGGGCCTGTTTCCACACCGTAGGGATTCTAACAAAACACACTGAAGGATTGATATCATAACACAGTTGAGCCTGGAGGCAAACAGTGTAGATCTGAAGGAGTTTGGGAGTGAAGCACTTGAGCAGATGAGGCCAGAGTGAACATGAGTCTTAGAATCAGGTTAAAACGACCCAAGCATTATGATACAAATTGGTGACAGCTAATTGCCTTTATTTAGTAAATCTTCAGGTTATTTCTCTTAAATTCAATTACACGAAGAAATAGAGGCACAATAGGGCACCTCCAACTCAACGAACTCATCCTGTGCCATGTTGGGCCTGCAGGATCAAAAACCGAAATTGCTGGAGAAACTCAGCAGGTCTGGCAGCACTTGCGGAGTGAAAACAGTTTGAGTCCAGTGAGCCTTCTTCAAAACCTGAACTTTCTGAAGAACTTTGTTTTTTTTTCAGATCACCGTAACAGTTTTCGGTTTATTTTATATGAGCCTGTGGAATGTTTCTCATGTTCTGGACAATCTTCTTTACAGGACAGGCTTCAGAGCTTGAGCAGCAGCTAGTCTCAATACATGACATCATTAAGACTGAGAAGTGAGTGGATACAAAGTTTCTGGATAAAAACTGCAAGTGCTAGATGTGTACAATCAAAATTAAAAGCTCACAGAATCTAAGAGAAAGTGGCAAGTTGGATCCAAAATTGGTTCAGTGAAAGGAAACGATCTTTTACAGGTCAACAGGTGTGCATGTGACTGGAAGGTTGTGGGGGTTCTCCACATATCTGTATGGGATCAATGAATTTCCATAATACACAGTAACTTTGACATAAATACAAAGGGGGATGACTATATAGTTTGCAAATTCAATGAAAGCTAGGCATCACATTATAGGAAATATGTAATCACACTAAGAGAGGGTGTAGAAGATCTGGAGGATACAAGGATTTTGCTTGGAATGGAGAATTTTGGCCATCAGTTAAGTTTGAATGAAGTTTGAATGGATTGTTTTCTTTGGAACATGGGAGGCTGACACGAGATTTAATTGAGGTGTACTGAAATGATGGTGGGGTGGGTGAAGGAAAGGTATAGTGAAAGTCAACAGGAAGAACCTACATTTTAGTAGGGATGGAAACAAACAAACAAATCAGAAGGCACAGAGAGGTAAAGTGATTGGTCAAAGTATTAGAAGAAAATTGAGGAGCATTTTTTTCCTCATCCGGAGTGCAGGAGAACAAAAGTCATCAGTGTATTTAAAAGAAAATACTCAAGTTCTGTAAGCTGTAGGATACAGATTAAAAACTGCACTCAGAAACTGCAATTGAACTGGACAGCTACTTTTTGATTTCCAGAACTATGATGGGTTAAATGGCCTCATGTGCCAGACATCTGTCCTCGTTTCTTCCTACATTGCTAAATTGTGCACAGAAGGTCAAGTTCCCAGTACATCTGAGCGTTACCCAACCTTGCTCCCCTCCATTCTATCTGCTCCATTATTGGTACCAGACACCAAAATTGTCTTAGTTCCGAACTCTACAGCTCCCTCCCTAAACCACATACAGTTGCTCCATCTCTCATTCCTTTAAAATGTTATCTTCAAAGTTAATTACTAGCTTTTCTTGACCAGTGCCTGGAACCTTTTTGTGTTAGCTGTGTTTAGACATTTTCTAAGCTAAATAAAATGACAATACTAATTGCTGAGCCTTAAATCATGAATACTCTCTTGGTTTTGAATACAAAGTTCAGGAAGTCACAAATATTTATATATAGCTCTTCTTTGCCAATAATTTTTATACATGGCACTACACTGAGAAAAGCTGTTTAAAAAGTGGGATTAGCAAAAATTCTCTTGAACTCTGAGAAAACAGAAAAAGAATTAAAGAACCTTGTGAGCTGTTCACACAGCAATCTGAGGGCAGAACCACAGCTGGTAAGGGTCAACCACAGCTTGCGACCACAGCTGTCAAGGCCACTTGCCTAAAGATAAGATAGTATGCTGCCTACATAAGATAAGCAAGAGTGGGTGGAATGTAAATGAACGCAACATTTATCTACATTTTATCCGTTATTGTTTAAAACTGGTAAAGTAAAAGGAGATACCAGCAGCTGCCAGTCTATTTTGTGTGTTTAATAATGAAAATTGACTCAAAAACCTTTTGCCACATGTCTTTAAGGTAATTGACATTTAAAGATGAATCATTATCATAAAATACATGACTCTTTCTGGCACTTATCTGATGAGATTGAAAAATAGATTTTATCTTCTGGAATTAAATTTATAAATATTTGGTTTTTACACCAAAACAATTCATAGAATGAAAGCATAAGAACATGCAATAACTTTCAAGAGTTCAGAGATACATAGATATTTCCGGAGAGGTTTTAAAAGATTAAAGAAATGAAGTAGTTTATGAGAAAAGTCTTCTAAACTGAGAAAGCATTTAAGAGCAAGACCTTAACTTTAAGAAGTCAAGCCAAAAATACTGGAAGGTAGTTAGATGCAGCGCTTGCATGCAAAAGTTCAGTTTCCCAGAACATGTGGAAACATCAAAAGAACTAGCACCACTCCAGATATAACAACATGCAAGTGAGAGAAGACAGAGAGGCGAATGACCTAGAAGAGAACCAATATTGTGTCTATCGAAAAAAATTCATCACTGTCACATTCCACAATTTATACTGACAGAACAAAAGCCAAGGATTTGAAGTTAACTTCGATCACTTTTTTTTAAAAAACAGCTTGGATTCTTTGCTTTGCCTATTTAAGATGATTAACCTGAAAATATAAATCCTTAATCCTTACATAGATTGCTCAGTTAGATGAATCTGGTGAGGAGAAAAAAAAGTTTTATGTAGCCGACTTAAATGCCTAAAGGATTGTCAAGGTTAGGTGGATAGAAGATGGAAGCACAAGATTGGTCATCTTACAACTGCCCATCACAAATACAAAATGCATTTTAGAAGATTAAATTCAGATGCAAATTATACAATAAAGGGCAGAACACTTAGGAGCATTGACAATCAAAGGGAGATGGGTGTACAGGTCCACAGATCCCTGAAAGTGGCAAAACAGGTGGTTAAGGTGGTCGAAGGGGCATACAGCACTCTTGCCTTCATCAGCTGGGGCATTGAATATAAGAGTTAGCAAGTTATGTTACAACTATACAAAACTTTAGTTATTGGAATATTTCTGTGCAGTTCTGGCCATCCCATTACAAGATGGATGTGGATTGCTTTGGAGAGGGTGCAGACAAGGTTTAGCGGGATTTCAGGTTTTAGTTATGAGCAGAGGTTAGATAAACTCGATTGTTTTCACTGGAAAGACGGAGGCTAAGGGGTGACGTGAAAAAGGTCTACAAAATTATGACAGGCATAGATAGAGTGGATAAACACAGGTTTTTTTTCCCCCCCCAGGGTGGAAAAGTCAACTGCAAGATGGCACAGGTTCAAATTGATAGAGGTAAAGTTTAGGGGAGAAGTGCGGGGAAAGTATTTTACACAGAGGGTGGTGGGTGCCTGGAACACACTGCCACTGGAGGTGGCAGAAGCAGGCACGTCAGCAACGTTTAAGACAAATCTTGACAGACACATGAACAGGAGGTGAACAGAGGGATAGAAACTGTGTATGGGGCCATAAGTAGAGGGTCTAAATAAGGATTAGGAATTGGTGCAGGCTTGGTGGACTGAACAGCCTATTCTTGTGCTGTATTGTATAAAACATATAAATCTGAGGCCAACCAGACTGATTGAAAAGAACATGCAATTATATTATTAGAAGCAGAAAGCTAATCAGCATTACATGAAAACTGACTTATAACATAATAGATTCGTTATGCAAAGCTGTTATCTTCTTAGCTATACAAAAAAATCCAACTGTGAATTAATCCTGCCAACTTTGCATCATTCTTGGACACTGAACCTAACTTTATTTCTACTAAGTGGAGCTCAGCTAGTTTTAATGTTATTAAAGTACACTTGTATTGACATTATTCCCATTGGGTGAGTAACTCTGGTAGTTTAACAAAATAGATTAAATTACATTGAGTACACTTTTGATAACCCTAAATTGGCACTAATTATGATTATTAGAAATGTGCTAGTTACAAAATATTGGTTTATGATTTTGTTGTTTTGCTTCCATTATCTTGGGAGCTAGCAAGTTCTATGATTCTATGATAAGTGAAAAGGTTAAAGGCTGCTCAATGATTTCTGATTAATATTCATTACAATTTTATTTTTTAAGCTCTAATATCAGTCAATTAAGATTCTAACTATTGTTCATTTTTCACCTCTGAACCCGTAGAATTCCACAATTCTGTGTCTTTAGTTCAATAAAACAATGTAAAAATCTTAAACCATCAAGAGTTTGTGTGTAGTGGAAATTAATATAAAACTATAAGTAAGTTGTTACCAACCTGATTTGGCCAGTATTCTAATCTACAGCCAATGCATAGGAACGTATTCTACATCCGCCAATGAAGAAATTACAAGGCAGTCTGTCTCTGTGGATCCCATTTATCCTCTTGTTCTGGAATACAGAAGTGAAACTTGTAAAATAAATTTCTTCTTCTATCATATTTAATGGCTTCTATTTGACTACTTGAACTCATCACCTTTCAATTGTGACTGATTTTAAGTTTGTCATCTTGTTTTCTCTTATTTGTTCCAACATATCTGAAACCATCCCCAAAACAGAGATCAGATTCCCGCTGCTGCTATCAATATACCATGGCAACCACTCCTAGGAGAGTCAAAACTGTACAGAATGGCTCCCACATCCATTTTCTCCTTCTTCAAATGTACTTTCTCAATGACCCTTCTTATAACAGAAACCTGATCAGCAATAAAACTGTAGACAGGTAGTACTTACAGGCACAGAAGATTGTGAGACTTCACAGTAAACTCCCTTTTTATAAGGCAGTGTGTCAAAATCTGATACATTTGGAAAAGTTTTCATTTTCTTGGACTACCTTTTACAGAGAGTTAGATTCATATTTGAGCAAGACTATCCAAGAGTGAAATCAGAAAGCACATTTCCCCCACACAAGGGTAGTGGAAATCTGGTAAACTCTCCCACAAGGCAGTAGGAAAGATGGGTGAATTAAAATTTTGCAGACCAAGATGGATGGATTTCTGCTGAGCTCAAGGGATACGGTGCAAATGCAAGTAAATGGAGTTGAGATCAAGAACACCTATTAGAACAAAATAGACAGATCTGAGGATTGAGTGGCCTGACCTTGTTCCTAACCAATTAAAAATAAATGCAATTAGTAATCTACTTCAAGTCAAACATTGTAGCAGCCCTTTTGTCTCTGAAATCCCTCCAAGTAATATTAAAGCCACATGTTTTAACCTGGTCAAAAGGATTTCCTAGCTGCAGGAGTCCAACTACAGCATACTCCAGCAGCGGGATATAATTTGATTCCAGCAAAATTTTTCTCGGCTGAAACATGATTTGGAATATGTGGCCTGATAGGATGGTGGAATCAGATCTGAAAGCAGATTTTGAAAGAGAACTGGATAAATATTTGAAAAGCTAAAATATTATAGAGATATGGGGAAAAAAAAAAGAGACAGGGATTACTCTTCAAAAGAACTTGGGGGTGGTGGTGTTGGTGGTAGGCTGGATGGGTGAGGCAATCTTTTACAGTGCACCACTTCAGCATGTCCCAGAATGGCACACTGAAACAAAATGTGCAAACCAGGTCACAAAGTCATATTGATGTGCAGCAGTAGTACTCATGAACAGAGTAGACACTAATTTCCACTTGAAAGAATTAGAAATCATTTATCAGTGAGACCAAAATATTATAGTACAAGAAATTGTAGCCAATTACACATGATGGCTGGACTCAAATTCTGAAATACCTGGCTAAACTCAAGGCGACCATCATCTTTGTTTCTCCAAGAGAAACAAGAATGGAACTACTTAAAGTAATGCTTCAAAACAAGTGCCGCAAGGAGGACCATAAAATTGCCTTCTCCAATTAGGTTCAGAATTTGGCATGATCAAGTGTGGAATTGGGTCTCCTCTTTTTAACCACCTCAGTCACAAACAAACAGTTTCTTTTTAGTACGCAGCCTATCAAACTTGAATTAAAACATACTTTGCTAGAAAGTGAAGGAGGCAATTACCATGATTTTGAGTGAAAGAAAGCAGTTTATTGTCTATTAATTCCAAAAAAAAGGAATATCAAAACACTCTCAAACACGGGTAAAAAGTTTAAAAAGGGAGAACATATGGTGTAGATGGGGAAATAGAAAAATTACACAGTTAAACTGTTCATCGAATCCTCAAGATGTTAGATTCTTAACCGGAGATTGTAGCTCTTTAATGGCTAAGTTGTATCCGCAGCAGGAATGGAATCTGTATGTAACTTGGTGAATGGCTATTTTTCCATTTAGCTTTTTCGTTGGTCAATGAATTCTGAGATGAGTGAAACAGGCAAGAACAAACAGCGTTTCAGCTCTTGTTGTCATATTCGTTGTTTTCTTCTCTGTTTTACTGCTCAAAAGCAGCTACTGAAACACTGTTCAGAGTGTATTTCTTGTTCCATTCATTGTCTTTTCAAGCTGACTAATTTGGTAGGCAAGCCTTTAGTCTCCCAGTGAAATTACCGCATTCACATAAAATAAACACGAGTTGCGAATTTCTTGACACTGACCAAGGAACCTGGTTTAGACGCCTTTAGATACCATGGTAATCTCAGTGCAAACTGTTTACGCCATATGGGTCTCCCAAAGTTTTCTTCAATCTGTGGTCAGATGCACAGTGCAGCATTTTATATCCAGGTTTCTTCCTTTCTAAATACCATCTTAATCCATGAAAGGTCCACAGGTCCATTACAATATTGAGACAAACAGCTGAATCATATCAGCCTTCTTACCTCTATGTTGCAATACTATAAAATTAAAGACTTCAAAAGACCTTGAAAACTGATCCCAATGGTTCCTAAGGAGACTTTTGATAAGCAATCCCAGGCGCAGTGAATGATCAACTCTAGAGTGGATTTGTAGTTTAAATAAAACACTTAACTATATATTAATAAGAAGTAACTTTAGCAGAGCAAAAACAAAGTAATTAATTGAAGTCCATGATTTAAACCCAACAACCTTTCTTTGCAGCCATTCACACAAAAGATAGAGAAAAACAAACACAATTAAAGGGATAAATAAAATAAATTGACAAAACTAGAGAGATTATTTGAGCAGTTTTCATGATGCCTTGTTCCACATGCATATATGATTGTTTCTTGGTTTATTTTCTGAAGACACTGATCAAGACTACATGTTCAGTTCATTCTGAGGAAGTTTCAGCAATACTTAGAAATTAATTTCTATCCTTTGAATTCCCAATAACTGATAATGGGAGATTAGGCAGAGAGCTTTCAAATCTTCATAATATAGCATTAACAGCCAAATGCCTTCTTTTAGAGAAACAATCCAAAGAAAAAGTTAAAACTTTCCAGCCACACCTTCTGTTTGACCATTATGTTCTCTCCCAGATTCAATGGCGCTAATTCCCAGGTACTAATCTCACTAATGGCCAAACATCTGCTATCTGGTTAGATGTTCTGCTTTCCCCAGCACTTGATGCATCTATAGAGCACCTTGAACAAGAACCAATCTGAAATTAACTTTCAGGCTTGGCCTATGAAACAAACAGTTTGTCTGTCCCTTTTATAAAAACAAAACACATGCTGCTGCCCACAGTCCATAGGTCATATTCATCAATGCTCTCGGCCCCAATCCAAAATTGATAAAGAAAAAAGAAAAATCAGTAAGGGTTCTAACATCATACATAAAACTCTAATGATGGAAGTTAAAATTCAATAATCCATAGTTCTCGTTCTTGTACAATTTAGAGGTGTGAGAAATAGTCAGTGTACACAGCTAATGACTACACTGCTGACTTCAAACTATATATATCCATTTTAAAACCAGAAATCAAATGCAGGAGCCTAATCTGCTTTCTCATGACCATTTCAAATGAAAGCAGGTAAATCTCTTGACGCCGAGACAACATTGCTCCTTCAATTATTACCACTGGTCAAAAATAAAATAAAATGTTAATCTCACTTCCATTGTGGAATCTGTCTAATTCTACATATATTAAGGTACAGAGCAACTGCACTTCAAGTAATCTGTTTGAAGCACTTTTAAAGCATCCTTCACTACTGGGACAAGGAACTATACAAATGCTCATCTGTACTTTCCTTAATTATAATTTGAACAACAGGAAAGGAATTTGAACTGTACTAATTTTATGAACAACCTTGTGTATAGCAAAATAAAAAGACTTATTGCCATCAGACGTCAATTACAGAGCTCTGCAAAAAGCTTTGCCAAAGAGATTTGAACTACATGTGAGAATAAAAACTTGACATGCTGCTGCCCAAGACAGATGTGGAGGTGCAGTGTTAGACTGGGGTAGACAATTTCAGAAGTCACGCAACACCACGTTATATTTCAACAGATTTATTTGAACTCACAAGAATTTGAAGCGATGCTCCTGGTGAAGTGGAGGGAAGGGCACAGGCCTATAAATTCTGTGTCTGTACACTACCTTCCACTTCACCTGATGAGGAGCAGCGCTCCGAAAGTTTGTCATTTCAGATAAACCTGTTGAACTATAACCTGGTGCCATGTGACTTCTGACTTTGCCCAAGATGGAGTCACTTCTGTCAAGTCAGTCCACTGAAAGTGAGGACTGATATTGGATACAATTGGGATCACTTGAAATTCACAGAATTGTGAAGAAACAAATGTCATGTTGATGAGCCAAAGTCAAACAATTAATTGACATTGTAGGAATAAGAAAATTTAAAAACATGCAACGCTTATTTTATCCCAACAAAAATCACAGTGATAAATTGCATGAATTTGAGAAATAGGAAATGATCTTACAACCCTTTGAATCTACTCTATCTTTAATAAGATCATATCCCTTGAGCCTGAGAAATCAAAAAATTTAATAGCAAAGGGAAATCAATGCACAACAGAAGCAAAGATGCCTGTTAAATGAGTCATAATATGTTTGTTCTCAATGTTTTGCTCGTATAATCTCAAGTCCACTGTGTTCCTCTTTAAGCAATGTCAATTATGCTGTAAATAAAGTGCAGCAAAGGGCAAGATGATGCTGGTACTCAGTGCCAAAGCCTACACGCATCCTTTAGAAACACTTGAAATACTGGAAACCTTTTGTTCACAATACTTCACTAACTAGAAAAGTGTATGGCAGCACAGCTTGTATGGAGAGAAATCTTGGAGAAAATAAGAATAGTCCTTTTTGCTGTCTTCATATTTGGAACTAAAACACTGAGCCAAGCAAGACTACTAGAACAGAAAGTACTTGCAATTGTGTGACCCAAACCACTTAGCAGGTAATTCTTGACTGATTAATAAAAAATTTCATACTCCACACAATGAATTATTTTCTAATTTCCCTATCTGGAAAGGAAACAAACATGCATTTTCTTAGTGCCTTTCAGGATCTAAAGACATCCTGAAGCATTTTAAAAGCTAATGAAGTACTTCTGAAGTGCAGTCACTGTTCTAACATTGGGACTGCAGAAGTTAATTAATCCACAACTCCTCCCCCAGACAGCAATGTTATACTCACCACAATCTGTTACTTAATGAAGTTGATCAAGGGATAACCGCATTTCTCTTCTTTGAAACACAGTGCTAAGACATCTTTTATCTCACCAAAGAGCAGATAGAACCTTTAATGTCTCATCGGAAAGATGGCACCTTTGATAACTGTGGTATTGAGGGAGTGCAGAATGAGTGTCAGCCTACGTTTTGTCCTGGAGAGGAACCTGAAGTCTCAAAATGACTTAGAAGAAATGTACTGGAGGCTTCAGATTGCACACTGACTAGACGTACCACAATTGCTGTAATGGATTCAATTCTAATTAAGACAACTTTGTTGATAATATCTGTCACTCTGCATTATAAAATCTAAATTTATCAAGCAGCACAGCTAAAGCTTTCAAAGCCTGTATTTCCATCATCCTGACCTCACCAAACTCAACTGCTGCTTCATGATTCCACAAATGCTCTGCAATTCTCAACCATTTTTGCAGGTACCTGTGTTCGCATTCCATCCTACAGCATCCATCCTCTACAGCCACATGTCTCCTTGTACTCACTTTACAGTTTATGAAGTGCAAACACTTAAAGAATATTGTCTGTACTTAATGACTACATTAGGAATGCAAGTTATTAACAAATGAAACTGCATCAAGAATGCTTCAAAGAAACACGGCTATATTAACAAACATCCACTTAACTAAGAATGATCAAAAAAACGTACAACAAGAAATGCAGAATCAAAAATCCAAGCAATCAAATTTCTTCTTTTGATAACTAGCATTCAAATTCAGCAAGTGATTTCTTCCGTTTTAGGCTGTCAATTTTGCTTTTCCACTCTGATGTAAACAACTCAAACAAAGGGAAAAATAGAAAATCATTGTAAAAACTGACTCTATACACTTACCCATTAAATTGACTGCATGTTAGAAATATCCAAAGTCTATGTTTGCCTTCCCTTATGTTCTTGGTTGAGAATTTTCACCTGAGTTTGTGAGGGAATGAAAAATGGATCAGAGAAGTATAGCCTCATCATATCCTTCTGGAACTACAACATCTACAGTGTACCGTAATATCAGGCAGAAAAAAATACACAAAAATATAAACCATATAACAAATGTAATTAAAATATAATTTAAGTATTTTACGTAACTAAAATAATTCATGATTTTTATTGAAAAGATATGTTTCAAGTTGAGCTTTTTGCATTTTTGAGAGGAACTAACATTTGTGCTCAGAACACATGGGAATATTGATGAAGCCATTTTGATATTGGTCATAAGAACTTCAGCTGAAGTTGGTTATTAAGTCAGATTTGGGTGATGGTGATGACTACCTTTTTTCCATGGTGACCACTGGAGACTCAAAGCCTCCCTGGATATTGCCACATCCAACAACAGCTTCAGCAAGAGTTATAAATTCTATATGGGAAAAAATAAAAAGTTATTAAGTAACTGAGAAAGATTTGAGGAAGAATAAAGAAATAAATAGAATACATTAATCTTCAGGAATTATTGCAAGTTTACTGCTGAAGGCAGGGTAAAAATAAGTTAAATCGATAAATGGAGGTTTGAGAGGAAGAAAAGCAGTTGTGATTGAGACTACTGGGGTAGTTAAGGGGGAAAAAATTGATTGACAACATGATACATTGTAAGACAGGGCACTGGATGAAAACGGAACAATGGAGTCAAGTTGCTGATTGCACCAGTTGGCATGACCACTTCCTCTTGTGCTATAAACCTCTTTTTTTTTGCATCTTAAATCAAATTGTTTAAAGTGTTAGAAATCTTCAACACTGTTTAAATCTGTGACGTTTGCCTCTCAGGACCTGTAGGGTATACACTTTTACCTTATAATGCATTGTCACATTACAATAGCACGTGGCCATTCAATTTCAGAAACCATAAAGATCCTCAGCAATGTCATATGCTGCTCAGCAATTCATAAGTAACAGGACATGACATTGCTCATAAGCTTCTAATTGTTAATGTAAAATCTCAGATGAGCAAAGCCTTTCTTCCCCCAAAAAGTAATGTGTTCTCCTAATGTATCAGAAAATTCGATTTTATGTAACAACTTCAATGTACTAAAACATCCCAAAGGTGCTTCACAGGATGTTATCAAACAAATTTGAAACCAAGCACATAACATTAACACTGAAGAAGCAGCTTTCAGTAGCATCTGAGATATTTTAATTTAAAATCATTTTAAATTCATAGATCAGAAAGAGTGAAGATCATTCAGTCTCTCCTTCCAATATAATTATGACTTATAAGTGATAGAACTTTTCCATATTTTTAAATCAGAGGTAGATACATTCTTAATTACCAAGGCAATAACTATTGGGGATATGCAGGAATGTACAGCTCAGGTTAAAATTAGATCAGCCAGGATTTTAGTGAATGCCATATTGGTTGCCTACTCTTGCGCACAATATCCCTAAGGATACTGATCATAATACAACAAACTGAATGTTAAATTCTGAGTGTGGGAAACTTTGGTGGAAATAACTATCTTTAACTTAAATAAAGAGAATTATATGAAATGACGATACAGTTAGATGAAGTGAGCCAGGCAGATAGCTTACTGTCTTTCCTGCTAATCTATCAGCAGCAGTCATTTATGAAAATGCTTCTTGACTCTCATCAGAAATATATTCCAGTAAGGAGGAAAGATTTAAAGAGAGGGTCAAACCAACCACGGCTAACTAAGGAAGTTCAGGAGAGTATCAAGTTGAACGAAAATGCATATAAAGGAGGCCAAAGCCAGCAATAGCCCTGAAGACTGTGATAAATTCAGAATACAGCAAATGAGGACTTAAAAGACAAGAAACAGAGAGGGGAAACTGACGAGGAATATAAAAACTGACAAGAACATCTTTAAATATATAAAAAGGAAGAGAGAGGTCAAAATGAATATGGGTCCATTAGAAAATGAATCTGTGGAGACAGTTATGAGGAACAGGGAAATGACAGAGAAATTAAACAGACATTTTACATCAGTCTTTTTGGCTGAAGATACTTCAAATGTCCCATTAATACTAAAGAACACAGGCGAGGAATTAAGTACCATCTCCAGAGAAGTAGAACTGGACAAACTAATGAGCCTAAAGGCAAATAACTCCCCATGATGGCTTGCATCCAAGGATCCTAAAAGAAATAGCTCCAGAGATAGTGATGAATTGTTTGTAATTTTCCACTGCATTCTGAAGTAGTACCAGACGATTGGAAAACTGACAATATGACACCCCCATTCAAAAAAGGAGGGAGGCAAAAAAGGGTGTAAATATAGCTGGATTAGCCTAACCTCTACTGTTGGAAATGTAATGGAATCAATTATTAAGGAGGTAATAACAGAAAATTTGGAAAATCATTATCTAATCAAGCAGAGTTAATATGGCTTCATGAAAGGGAAATCACACCTGACTAATTTATTAGTTTCAAGAAAATCTCAACCCAAGATAAATAAAGGGGAACCAGTACATGTTGTATTTGAACTTGCAGAGACATTCAACAAGGTACTCCCCAAAAGATTTTTCTTTATTCATTCACGGGATGAGGGCATCGCTGGCCAGGCAACATTTATTGCCCATCCCTAAGTACCCAGAGGGCAGCTAAGAGTCAACCACATTGCTGTGGGTCTGGAGTCACATGTAGGCCAGACCAGGTAAGGATGGCAGTTTCCTTCCCTAATGGACATTAAGTCATAAGATAAGAGCTCATGATGTTGAGGTAGCATATTGGAGTGGATAGAGAATTGGCTAATAGGCAGGAAACAAGAAGCAGGGATAACAAGTTATTTTTCAGGTTGGCAACCTGTAACCAGTGGGGTTCCAAGAGATCAGTGCTGAGACTGTAACGGCTTACAATATACATTAATAACTTGGACAAAAGAAGTGAATGTACTATAGCCAAAATGGTAGATGACACAAAAATATTTGGAAAGGCAGGTCACAAGAGGGACAGAGATACTGATAGATTAAGTAAGTAGGCAAAAAGTTGACAAATGAAGTATAATGTGGAAAAATGTGAAATTGATCATTTTGAAAAGAAGAACATAAGAACAATTATTTAAATGGAGAAAAACTACAGAAAGCTGCAACAGAAAGGAACTTGTGGGCACTTGTGCTTTGAAACACTGAAAGGTAGCATATGGGTGCAGGTAATCAGGAAGGCAAATGGAAAGTTGGCCCTTATTTCAAGGGAGTTGAAGCATATGAATAGGGAAGGATTAATGGGCCTGTACAAGGTGCTGGTGAGACCACATATGGGAGTATTGAGAGCAGGTTTGGTCCCCTTAGTTAAAGAAAATGATACAATTTCATTGGAGGTAGTTCAAAGAATGTTCACGAGGATGATCCCTAGCAAAGAGAATGAGCAAAGCTAAACAGGTTGGGACTCTGCTCATCCAAGTTTAGAAGAATGAGAGGTGATCTCATTGAAACATACATAATTCTGAAGGGCCTTGACAGGGTAAATGCAAGAGGATGTTCCACTCATGGGACAGTCCAGGACCATAGTTTCAGAATAAAGTGTCAGACCAGAGCATTGTCTCAGAATAAAGAGGTACCAATTTACGATTGAGATGAGAAGGTATTTCTTTTTTGAGGCTTGAATGTCTTTGGAACTCCTTGCCAAGGAGAGCTGTGGGGACAGAATCTTTTTGTATATTTAAGGCTGAAATACATGGATTCTTGGTCAGTGGAGGAAATCAAGGATTATGGGGAAACAGTAGGAAAGTGGATGCGAGGGATGTTAGATCAGCCATGATCCTACTGAATAGCGAAGCAGGCTCAAAGGAGAAACAGCCTACTCCAGTTTCTATTTCTAATGATCTTAAATATTTGGAAAATATGGCACATGTAATTCACTTTGCTCCATCTTAAACATGCCTACATATATTAAAGCTCCGTTTATGTGGCACAGTTTTAGATTGTAGCTGTGTTATCCTATTTCATTGATAACAACACAGAGTGATGTGTATAGAATTCAGGTACAGCAAGCCCTCATTTAAAATCAACTCAGTTAACATAGCTTTGATTTAATACTGTTCATTGAAGGAAGACATATTTATCATTGCCATTTAACATTGTTTGGCACAGACTTCTGTGGTCTGCCTTATCTCAAAACCTTTTCCCCCCATGCTTCCACTCCTGCGCTAAGTCCTGAAGACTTCCTGGCCTTCCTCCAGTTCCCACCCCTGCCCTGTATCAGTCAGTCAGTCTTCAACAATCCCTGACACAGCTAACACTCCCGCCCCTGTTCTTACTTTTAAAGCTTTTGGTGTCCACAACTCTGCCAGTCAATTTCTGAATTTTCACTGAAGTGATGGGCTCTATATAATGTAGATGTTGGTTGGTGCCAATAGTTTGCTCTGTATGCACCAATGAGCTTCTGCCAAGAGTTAGAGACGGCCAATTTAAAGAATTAGACTCAAATGAAGAAACTTACTATTATGTGCAGTAGGTATAGTAATATTATACTAGTTCTCTCTTTTTAACATTATATGACAGGTTATTTTATTTGTAACAATAGGCATTTAGGAAGATAAACTATTTCAGATTGAATGGTTTTAAAGTTTTCTGTTGAAAAAGTTTCTGAAGTAACCAACTGCAACATTTCCCTTCTATATTTAGTGACTTATTTAGTGATTTATTTTGTTTTGCAAGTTATTTCAGCTAGGACTATGCACACATATGGATGCAGTTTTGACATTGCCATTGTATACTGAGATGCAATCTCATTCAAGTTTCTGCTCCACATTTTTGAATGTAAATTCATAGGGAAGCGGGGTTTCTGATTTTCAACTTCAATAGTGACAATTCCCAAAACAGCACAAGAGTTAGCCTGTCACCGTCTGGTAAATGCAGACAAATAAAACAAGGACAGGACAAGGGGACACAGCTCAAACTGACATCAAGCACATTCAGCACTGCGGTCAGCAGATTCTTCACAAGACAGACAGAGCTTTCTGTTCCTGTAAGAATAGATTTGAATCTCAAGATCATCCTCACAATGATGAATATAACAGCGTGATATGAGTGAATAAAATTAATTATTAAAAAATGACCAGCCTCAGTAATGTCCTTTCCCAAAGGCTCACAGTGTGACATCACAGTGGTTTACAGTCTTCCTTTTCTTTAACGGATCCTTCATGGATCTTAATGGATCCTCCTTTTCCTTCCACCTTATTCAGCTGATGAATTAGTACCGTCCTTGGTAACCACCATTTTGAAGATGCACCGAGGGTGGCAACAATGGAAAATGTACTATGGACAGAGGACTTCAATGTCCATCAAAAATGACTCTGCAGCATCATCATTGACCAAGTTAGCTGAGTCCTAAAACACAAAACTGTTACGTAGGGTTTGCAGCAGGTGATGAGGGAACAACAGAGAAAAATGTCTATTTGACCACATCTT